GTGTGTGTGTGTGTGTGTGTATATATACACACATACAATGGAGCATTACTCAGCAATCAAAAAGAATGAAATCTTGTCATTTGCAACTACGTGAATGGAACCAGAGGGTATTATGCTAAGCGAAACTAGTCAGTCAGAAAAAGACATATCATTTGACTTCACTCATATGAGGACCTTAAGAAAGAAAATAGATGAACATAAGGGAAGGCAAAAATAATAAAAAACAGGGAGGGGGACAAAAACATAAGAGGCTTTTAAATATGGAGAATAAACAGAAGGTTACTGGAGGGGTATGGAAGGGGATGGGCTAAAGAGTAAGGGGCATTAAGGAATCTACTCCTGAAACATTTTTGTACTATATGCTAACTAACTTGGATGTAATTTAAAAAAATAAATAAAAATTAAAAAAACAAAAAACAAAAAACTCCAGGCTTTAAGCCCTGCTGGTTGTAAGAACTCAGGAAATTCAAGCCTTCTAGCTTTTCAAGCCTATTGCTATGGGGATTTATTTTCTACTTGTGCTTACCTGTGTGTTAGTCTGTCTATCTCCCTTCTCTGCAGTTGCAGCTCCCTCCCCACCCTGGGGGTCACAGTCTGTCACTCTCCCAAACTGTGTCTCTGTACTTTGTAGTCCACCACCATCTTCCAAACTCCTGGTATAGATCTTTGAATTATAAATTAGAAAACCTTTGGTTTTGTTCTGTCCTGGTGCCCACTAACATTAATGCATTATTTAGTGAATATTGTTTTGTGTGTAGCACTGTGCCAGGTATTTTGGGGGATAATGAAGCCAAAAACTTGGACTTAGCTTTTTTTTTTTTTTTAATTTTTTTTTTTTCAACGTTTATTTATTTTTGGGACAGAGAGAGACAGAGCATGAACGGGGGAGGGGCAGAGAGAGAGGGAGACACAGAATCGGAAACAGGCTCCAGGCTCTGAGCCATCAGCCCAGAGCCTGACGCGGGGCTCGAACTCACGGACGGCGAGATCGTGACCTGGCTGAAGTCGGACGCTTAACCGACTGCGCCACCCAGGCGCCCCGGACTTTGCTTTTAAAGGACTTAAAATCTACTTAGAAAAACAAGGAAACTATTTTAGAAGATAGGTAGGATCACAAATTAGTAATTTGAAGAGTTATGTAAATGGTACATTTGAAAACATAGGTTCTTTAGGAGCTAAAAGGTGGTGGCTGTAGCACAGTGAGGAAAGAAAAAATAGATAAATTGGACTTCCTTGGGGTGCCTGGGTGGTGCAGTTAGTTAAGCATCCAACTCTTGATCTTGGCTCAGGTCATAATCTTACAGTATGTGAGTTTGAGCCTCACCATTGGGCTCTATACTGATGGCGCAAAGCCTGCTTAGGACTCTGTCTCTCCTTCTCTCTG